TGGCTGGCCCCCCACCCCCCTACCCCCGTTAAATGAATGCACGGGCAGGTGGCCTGGTGGTTAAGGACGCTGGAGTCCCACGTGGCCGACCAACAGCCGTTAGAGTCCAGGACCTGGCGAATTGCTTTCTCACTTTCTCTCTCTTGTACTCGCTCGCTCTGTCCCTCTTAGCTCGAATCAAAATAAAGTTAAATTTTAAACAATTTAAAAAAATGAAGTTAAAGTAATTTTTTATTTTTTAAAGAGGTAGATACCAATACTGTCCTCATTCTACATTTAATCTTAAAAAGCTACATGACTTGGCTCAGGCCACCCAGGTAATAACTGAAGAGTTCATGTCTGTTTGTCAAAGGAATTGGTATTTTCCGGTCCAACTCTATAGTCTAAGATTTCAACCTGCTTGAGCCTTGGCAAATTGGAGTAAGACTCCTCTGCGGAAGTCTTTCCCAATCAATGTACCAGAACGAAAATGGAAATAAAATCCCCTTTTCTGATCACTGTATGGGCTGCAGTGTTTTCCAAAACCGACTTGTCTTACGACTTTCTGAGCAAGTCACACCTTTCATGAACCTTATTTTATTTTTTTAGAAAATGAGGCTGATAACACCGATCTCACTAGTAGCCTAGTCACATTTGGAGTTTGGGCAGGGCCTAGGAGGATGGCATCAGCGGATTGGGCCAGCTGAAGGGGGCGGCTCTAGAGGAGGGAGGAGCCAGTCGCGCCTCGCCGCAGCCCCGAGCTTTGAATCTAGCGCGGTAATTTCAGCTGTAGCCAATCCTAGAACAACATCTTCTTACGCCAGTAGTTGCTGAGGCCCAAAGCCACGCGTCCCTCACGAAGATCAGTTTTAGCCGTTGCTGCTGTACTCGTACTTGGGTCTTGCGTGTCCATCCGTTCGGACCCAGAGGATTGACGGGGAGTCTCAGTCACCTTCCCGAGCATCTGGGCTGCAAGGAGACTCAACGATTCGCTCCAAACATGTCGAGCAGCACTAGCTTCCCTTTCTGTGGAAGCCGCAGGCTGGCTCCCTGTCAGTAGTTGTGGTGCCAAGATTCCGGTTCTTTTTACGCAACTTGCTGAAGTTGCTTTTTCAGGGGAAGGCAGGACCGACAGGAAAGGTACCCCGGCGGAACCGTACGGCGAGGGCGGGGCTATCCTTTCGACCAGGAGAGGTTGAGCTCTGGCTCTTTAAACCCAAGGGGGAGGATCCGGAAGTGGATGGGCGGGGCAAGGGTCCTGGTATATAACAGGGGCCCAACCGCGCGGGGTCTCCAATCTGCCATT